GCGTCGACATGGTAGTTATCGAGATATGGTTGATCAAAGTTGTAACACCGTCACAAAAGTGATGCACGTATTGGGAGCGCGACTGGGGTTTACTTTACGCATTACGGCCCTTTCCCAGTCCCTGCGAACGCGCACCACCCCCCCCAGGGCTTAGGGCTCTCTAGCCCGTAAACCGATCCCGATCATCTGGCTCGCTGGGTGCGCTTCTTAGCTCCCCCCGGCCCTGGTGCCTGGAGATCCGGTTCCGGATCGTGTGGGGATGTGAGGGCTTAGCAGGTCAACCCGACTGCTACACCGCGTGCTGCAACTCCAAGTGCTCCAAAAGTGCACGCATGATATCTTATGCAGAGAATTCCCCATCGGACGCCTCCCAAGAGCGTCCGTGGGCTCGGAAACACAGTCATGCGTCGTCCGTGGGCTCGAAAACACAGTCGCATGTGCGTGAGAAGACACACCGGTCACCGCCTGGCACCTAGCTTTTACCACCCGCGCGCGGGTCGCACACTCTCTCGACGTCACACAGACCGCGGCGCGCGGGTGAAGGCGGCACGCGCCTTGCAGCGACGCCTCTCGCCGGCGCTGCCACACTCCCCCCCCCCTCCCCTCCCCCCCCCTCATCCTACAAGCGCGTGCCGCCCGCTATATCGTCTCGATGCCAGAGCCTCTGGCCGCGCCATCGCCGCCCTCCGCCTCCGCGCAGCGCAGCACGGTCAGCGTGAGGGCGTCCGTTGCGGCGCCGTGGGCGAGCTTGCCAACCACCTCGGCCAGCCGCGAGGGAGGGTCGCCTGGGCGGATGGGCGGGAGGGGAGACTGGGCGGGGTGTGAGTGCGTGTTGCATGCCTGCGTGCGCGTGCGTGTGTGCGTGGGCGGTCAGCTCTGCAGGTGCACGCGAGGGCAGGGGGAGCGGGCGGGAGGAGAGGGGACCCGCGCGCCTCCGAGGTCGACCACGATGCCCTGCCACCCTGCTGCAGCCGCGCCGCTGCTCCCCTCGCGCGCTGCAGACACGGCGACAGAGCAGACGACGTCTGCCACGCGCACGCCCGCAGCGGCTGCTGGAGAGCCTTCTCTCACTCGAGAGACGACGTTGGTCGAAGTCACGTCGAGCCCGAAGGGCTCGCCCGCCGCCCCGCGCACCAGCGTCAGGGTGAGGCGAGGGCCAGCCCCACCGCCGCGGCAAGGGCTCACGAGCCTGAAGCTGCCGTCCGCCGCCGCAAGCCACTCGTCGGGCTCGCCCTCGGAGGGGCGCTGCACGTTACTCTCGTGCGGCGCCGTCTCGGCGAGCACGGGACGGCTGATCGCCGCCGCCGCCGCCGCCTCCGCATCGCGCTGCGCCCGCCTCGCTTTGGCTATCTCCTCCGCCGAGCGCGGCACCGCAAAGCCTCCCCGCCCCTCCGCCGGTGCGGGCGGCTGCGGCGTCGGCGGCGGGGGAGACGGCGCCGGCGGGTCGCACTTTGAGCTGCTCCCACCCATCACACAGGAGCCCACACGGCTGCAGCGCGCCTTGTGGCCGCTATCGCTTCGCACGGTCGCCGACTTGGCCTGTAAAGAAGAAAAACGAAGGGCTGGCGACAGTTGTGGAAAAAGAAAAACTCCTCGGCGCCGACCCGCCGGCCGGCGGGGGCCAAAGTCTGGCGAGTCGATGTTCACCCTGCCGACCATGGAGGCCTCGGATCGGGCGCGCGCGTTCGCAGATAGCGTGGACAGGCACGAGCGAGCGCAGATGCGCTGGCTCGAGGACGGGGACGACGCACGGGCTGACCGCTCCCTCTCTCCGGACCTACCACGACCGACGGGGCGGCCCCGGCGGCGTTCTCTCCTCGCTCAGGCGCGCGCCAGCGTGAGCCCGCTCTGCCTGCGCTCCCACCGTTCGGACGCCTCCAGCGACGACGAAGCTGAGCCGGTCGCCTCGGAGCCTTCTCCGGCGAGCGTGATGGATTCCCTCCCGCTGCCGCGCCCGGCCTGGCCAGCGGCACAGGCAGCGGAACAGCCAGCCGGCGTGGACGCCAGAGCGGCAGCCGCGCCCGATGCGGCGACGCCCCCCCGCCGTCCCACCCCGACCCTTGTGCGGCGCCTCTCTCCTCGCTTCTTGCGGGGAGGCGCGCACCGCCGCAGCGCCTCGTCGGCCGCTGCGCCGGCCGCAGCGCCGGCCTGGCAGGGGGCGCAGGGGGCGCAAGAGGCGCAGGCCTCGCCCGCAGCGCAGGCAGTGCGGGAAGTGCCTGAAGCGGAGGGTCGCCAACCAGCCGCCGCTGCGGCGGCGGCGCCGGAGGTGCCGCCAGTGGCCGGCCGCCTCTACCGGGTCGTTGGGCCGCCCTTGCTCTCGCCAGCGCACGATGGCCCGCCGAGCGAGCCGCCCGCTTCGCACAGCGACGCGCCTCGCCTCTCGCAGCTGCGCGACTTGTCCCGCGAGCGAATGCTGCGCCGGCTCTCCATCGAGGTGCGGCCGAGAGGAGAGTGCTCGGTCCTGACACTGTGAGCCGGCCCTCGCCTGGCGAGAGACGCAGACCTTTGTATGCATCTGCAGAGAGAAGCGGCGGCGTGCGATCTCGCAGGTGGAGCTCGACGAGGAGGCCAGGTTCCTCCTCCACTCCGACGCTGTCCAAAGAGACTCCCCCCCCACTCCCCCTCCTCCTCCTCCTCCCCCTCCGGGCGGCGCCGCGCAGCAGCCGCACGACAGCGCCGCCGCCACCGAAAGGGCATGCTCTTCCTCCGCCACCGGCAGCGCCACCGGCAGCGCCACCGGCAGCGGCGCCGGCAGCGGCGCCGGCAGCGGCGCCGGCAGCGGCGCCGCCTCTTCCGGCGCCGTGCCGCATGAGCTCACTGCCGCCGCTGCCGCGACGCCGCAGAGGGCAGGGGCGGCGCCCCTGCCGCCTCGCCGCGAGCTGCTCGAGCCCTTCGAGCCATCGCCTCTCTCCGTCCTCGCCTCCTTCCTCGCCCCCCTCGCCCCCGCCCTCTCCCCCCCCCTCTCCCCCGCCTCCGCCTCCGCCTCCGCCTCCGCCTCCGCCTCCGCCTCCGCCTCCGCCTCCGCCTCCTCCTCCGCCTCCTCCTCCGCCTCGGCCCCGGCCGGAGAGGAGGGCGCCGCCCCTGGAGGAGGAGGAGGAGGAGGAGGAGGAGGAGGAGGAGGCGACGCCCTCGGGCTCG